CCGAGGCGGGCGGATCACAAGGTCAGGAGATCGAGACCATCCTGTCCAACACAGTGAAACCCCGTCTCTACTAAAAATACAAAAATTATCCAGGCGTGGTGGCGGGCGCCTGTAGTCCCAGCTACTTGGGAGGCTGAGGCGGGAGAATGGCGTGAACCCGGGAGGCGGAGCTTGCAGTGAGCCGAGCTTGTGCCACTCCACTCCAGCCTGGGCGACAGAGCGAGACTCCCTCCGTCTCAAAAGCCAAAAAAAAAATTTTTTTTAAAGATCTGGAACGTTTTCATCCCCTGAGGAAGTCATCCCTGCCCCAGGCAACCAGGGAGGTCAAGGCCTTGTCAACCCCACTTCCTGGGCCCAGCTCTCAGGCAGGTCTGTCTGTGGCCTCCAGACCTGGGCTGCACCGGCTGGTTTCACAGGTTGCGTGTGCTCATCCTGCCCTGTCCAGTGATTGCTGAGCAGGTGGTGTTTTTTTCAGAGCCAGCTGGCCCCACGGGAGCTCAGAAACCTGGGCGGCTGGGCCTATGGGCTCTGGAGCTCTGCCCAGGGTGGCCAGGTAGGCGACCTTTTCCCTGTGCTGGTTCCTGTAGCAAGGAGGAGGCTGTGTGCTGTGGCCATTGTGTCAGGAGCTGTCTCTGGAAAGGCTGAATTGAGGAACCGGCATCGGCCTCTGCCTTCGATTTTGTAGGGTTAGTGGCTTTGTCTCAGAGGTTCAAAGTGTGGGTAAGTGGTTTCTGGATTTGCGGTTTTTCTTAGCCCTGAGGGGAAAAGGAGTGGGAGCCTGCCCTCAGCTGGCTTCCTAAAAACACGGTACCTGTGCCTGAGTTACACGCCCACCGGGTGTCCTGTCGTGTTTTGAGACCTCAGTGGAGTGTGCGGGCCCTGAGTAGTATCCCCCCACTGACAGTGAACCAGGTGCTGCCCCCCTGCAGTTCCAGTGTGTGTCAGTGCCAGCCACGTGCCCAGGACCCACTGTTCCCAGGGATACAAGGTCCCGCGGCCCATGGTGGCAGCTGCGGCACACAGCGCTGCTTTCCAGAGCTCTCGGTGTAGACACCAGAGGTCTTTCATTCAGTCACCTGGAAAACCCACAATCCACATTGGAAACCCAGTCTTTCTGGAATGAGAAATTTGGGCGTTTTTTTTGTTTGTTTGTTTGTTTTTTAATGATTTTTTCTTTTGTTTGTTTGTTTTGTTTGTTTTTTGAGACAGAATCTTACTCTGTCACCCAGGCTGGAGTGCAGTGGCACGATCTTGGCTCACTGCAACCTCTGCTGCCCAAGTTCAAGCAATTCTACCACCTCAGCCTCCCAAGTAGCTGGGATTACAGGCACCTGCCACTGTGCCCAGCTAATTTTTTTGTATTTTTAGTAGAGACAGGGTTTCACCATCTTGGCCAGGCTGGTCTTGAACTCCTGACCTTGTGATCGGCCTGCCTCAGCCTCCCAAAGTGCTGGGATTACAGGCATGAGCCACCGCACCCGGCCCTGGTTGGTTTTAATTAAAAACATTTTCAAAGATCCACATGGCATACCCGTCATCCAGCTCTAACGCTCATTAATATTTTGCTACTTTTTTGCTCCAACTAAAACTAAATTCTGGAACATTCTGTTACTTTGCCTCTGCATATTCCACTGTGCATCTGTTAATGTAAAATATGGACTTTTTGTACATAACCACAAGGCTTTTCTCACACCTGACAAGATTAACACCTTCATCTGTTCTTTTAGAGGTTTCGTTTCTTTGTGTGTTTTTTGTCATCTGTTTTGTTTTGTTTCGTTTAGTTTCATTTTTGAGTCAGAGTCTCACTCCGTGACCCAGGCTGGAATGCAGTGATGCCATCTCAGCTCACTGCAACCTCCGCCTCCCGGGTTCAAGTGATTCTTGAACCTCAGCCTCCTGAGTGGCTGGGATGACGGGCGCACCACCACGCCCAGCTAATGTTTATAGTTTTAGTAGAGATGGGGTGTGTTAGTCCGTTTTCATGGTGCTAATAAAGACATAGCTGAGACTGGGTAATTTATAAAGGAACTAGGTTTAATGGACTCACAGTTGTACGTGGCTGCGGAGGCCTCACAATCATGGTGGACGGTGAAAGGCATGTCTTACATGGTGGTGGCAAGAGAGAATGAGAGCCGAGCAGAAAGGGAAACCCCTTATCAAACCATCAGGTCTCGTGGGACTTACTCACCACTACAAGAACAGTATGGGCGAAACTGCTCCCATGATTCAGTTATCTCCCACCGGGGCCCTCCCACAACACATGGGAATTTGGGGAGCTACAATTCAAGATGAGATTTGGGGAGGGACACAGCCAAACCATGTCATAGTGTTTCACCGTGTTGGCCAGGCTGTTCTTAAATTCCCTCAAGCAATCTACCTGCCTGGACCTCCCAAAGTGCTAGGATTACAGGTGTGAGCC